AAACAGATGAGTAAATAATCGAAAATAAATAAACTAGATAAATCAATTACCAACTCAATGAAGAAAAATCCAATGGGGGAACCAACAAAAATCGAAAACAAAATAACTATATAAATCAATTACCAAATCAATAAAGAAAAATCGGATGGCAAAAAAAAATAAAAATCGGATGCATGGACACCCGTGTAGCATCAGCCAGCAATATCCCACGCATTGCGGGGGTCTATCATCCTCCCACGAATAGAACGTGCGATCATTATCTCTGTGCATATAGACCGAAATTTGTCCCAAATACAGCGCAAATAAAATGTTATAATGACCGCAGACACTATTCATGGGAAGACGGGTAGGTCCCACTTCCCGTGATTCATCATGTCCTTTTTTGTCACCCACCCAAACGTGATTCATCACTGTTTTGCCCACCACCAAACGTGATTCGTCGTTTCTTTTTTTTTTTCACTCACCCACACAAGCGTGATTCATCATCTCGTTTTTTTCACACACCCACCCAAGCGTGCGTGATTCATCATTTCTTTGTTTTCACACAATTAAACACTGATTCAAAAATAAAAATAAAAAAATTCGCACACCCACCCAAGCGTGATTCATCATCTCGTTTTTTTCACACACCCACCCAAGCGTGCGTGATTCATCATTTCTCTTTGTTTTCACACACTTAAACAGTGATAAAAAAAAAAAAAAAAAAAAAAAAACAGTGATTCATCATTTCTAACCGTATACAAAGATAAGGTGAAAAAAAAAAAAAAAAAAGATAACTGGTCAGAAGTGGGGGGAGGGGGGAGGGGGGAGGGGGTACGGCTACGTCCCCCTCGCCCAGGTATAGCTTACCGCGCAAAACAGTGCAACGTCTTCCTCTTCTTCGTCCCCATTCGTAACGGGTAACCCACATCTACCAACCGGCTGCGCTCAAAACCGGGATCGAACGAACGGTTATTACTGCTGAGTCTAGACGAAAAGTCGCTCTAAATGCAACTAGAATGACCGTGCGCTCTAATCGGATGAAGACGGAAGAATGAAAAACACGGTTATCTTCCTGCGAACAGACGCAGACAGATCATTAAAAAGAAGGGAAGGAAATGCAAACATATCGAGGCCCTGCCGGAGGTAAATGAGAATGGACTGGAGGGAAAATGGGCTTACCCGGATGTATCCAAATAAATTATTATATAATTATATTAAATTATCATATAATTATATTATTATTCAGCAATAATAATTAACACAAGAGATCCTCCCGGCCACGTAGTTGCAATGCCAGACCAATAACGAACAAACATGATTCCAGTGGAAAATTGAAAATTCGAAAAAGCTGGTCGGTCGTTCCTGTGAAGATATGCGCAAACGGATGCAAGGAACGAATCAACCGCGCTCTCCTGCTGCCTTCTTTGTTCTTTTTCCCCCTTTCCTCTACCCTACCGGTAGTAAAACGGTGCGGCCATGCTAATCTTCTCCGTATCGTTCCAATTTTCTGTATCGTTCCAATTTTAACGTCGTTCCAATTTAACGAATCTCCCAGAAGAAGAAGAAGAGAAGAAACAAAAACAAAAAAAACGGTGCGGCCAGTAGCAACAGGACGAATGCCACAAAAATAAATAAGAAACACAAAATAAAAGCAAAAAAAAGAACTATTTTACTGAAAATGGCAACGATCTTGAGATATCATCTTTTTTTTTTCTTACCTCGCTTAAAATGACCCAACGAGGTGAGCAAAAACACAACGCAAAAGAAAGAACGATTGTTCTTTTTCTCTTCTTCTAAAAAGGACAACGATCTTGAGATATCATCTTTTTCTTTTCTTACCTCTTAAAGTGACCCAACGAGGTGACCAAGGCACACCACTGAAGAAGAAATCAGGGTGACCGACACAGTTCGCACTAATTCCACTCAGACCAAAATACTGAGCCATCTGATCTCGTGCAACCAGAAGATTGTAAGAACACGGGTATGCATTTCGAAAGAAGAGAAAACACGATCGTTATAGAGAAAAACGAGGCAAACGCAAGAGACACTGAAGCTCTCGTCATCGCTTGGTTCGGAGTCTAGCCAGGATATTTCTTCAGAAAAAGAAAAGAACAACGGAAGTATCATAGATGAGACGCAAAAATCGTAACGACAAGCAAGGTTGATTAGAATGGGTGCAGCGCTTTCAAGGATAACACGCATAAATCGAGAAATGGTTTAATCTATTCAAAAAAAAAAAAAAAAAAAAAACGGAAAACGAGTGGTCGATGTAATGATTATAATCAACCAATCTAGCCAAGTTCCCTCACGTTTGCATATTCGTGCTTGAGCGGGGAGCTCCTCCCCCTCCATCACATCCCTCATCTTTCAACCCAGACCTGCCAGGAAATTTTAATACTAATAATAATAATAATAATAATAATAACAATTTAAAAAAAATCGAAACCTACAGGTACGATCCAAGAGCATCTAACTTATTCATCCTCACTCCCCCGAATGGATTGTTCTTCATTCCTGACAATAGATCTTCGGTATCGACGGTCAGAAATGAAGAGTTTCCTGGCAGTTGACCTTCGAAATCGACGATCAGAAGTGTAGAAAGTTTAATCGTCGAAATCGATGATCAATTGAATGTTGAAATCGTCGTCGATATTTATTATCATCCAATAACTTACAATAAAAATGAAAATAAAAATCGTTGTCGAAATCGACGAGCTTCATCGTCAAAATCGTGGTCGAAACCGACGATCAGAAATAAAGAGTCGGGCTAACTTTTTCACCCCCGACCGTATCGATACAAAAACTCTCAAGAATGCATGCGTTCATCCAACGTAAAATATATGTCGAACAGAACGTCCTTAAATTGACATAAAACTCTCTCTCTCTCTCTCTCTCTCTCTCTCTCTCTCTCTCTCTCTCTCTCTCTCTCTCTCTCTCTCACACACACACACACACACACACACACACAACCGATTTGCTGAAGGTTCTGCCGATTATACCACGGCGCCGAATATGCCCCTCATTCTACTACTCGTCAAATGTGAGAAAGACTATGTATCCTTCCGATTTAAACGGAACGATTCTCTGACAAGTATTATCGCATATAAACAGTATGCATAGAGAGAAAACGGAAAAAAAGGAAATGAAGTACCGGAACGGGATAAGGTTATCGCGTATAAACAGTATGCATAGAGAGAAAACGGAAAAAAAGGAAATGAAGTACCGGAACGAGGTAAGGTCCTAGTATAATCATCAACTTAAGAGCAATAAATAAGGAACGCGGTACGGCACTATAGTAATCAACCTACAGCAATACATAAAAAGGGCAACGATAGATGGGCATAACGATGAATCAGATCCGATGCACTCTCCGCCGCTGGACAGACGAAACCTCGGCCGCAACATATCTAGCAATCAAGACCAGCACTACAACAGCCATTGCATCACACAACGGAACAGCACTAAATGGAACGAATGGAGCTCCAGGAGACAGGTGCAGCATTATCATCGTTTCGGCGGACTGCAAGCAACCGAACAAAGTCAACGGAACGGAAGAATACGGAACAACAACAAATTTAAACGGAACGCCGCCAAACAGAACGGAACGAAACGAAAACAACATGGAATGCAATACCCTAACCACACAGTAGCTCGTTTGAAGTCGGAACAATAATACAAAGAAGAAAATTAGCATTGGTCCTGGGCAACGATGGCACACATAAATCGCGAAAAAAAAAAAAAAAAAAAACTGAGCTTGTTGACGCCACTTTCGTTACTGCGCCCTAGTTAACCCCCCCCCAAGAAAAAATGCTATCCTTAAACGAAAAGTGCTCACAATAGCGCAAGGATCGGCATTGGTCGTGTGGGGATGTCTTGTATTCGAGGGATACCTGAACTAGATTTAACTGAAATCGTGACTGCGCCATAGTTACATCCCCCCCCAAAAAGAACAAGACAGACATCGAAAGCACTCAGAGAAAAGTGTTATCCTTAAACGAAAAGAAGATCAAAGAACATGCCCAAAGACGTTCCGACAAGCCGGAAAGAGCTCCCGACTGAAATCGAGACCAGTCAATAGCGCCATATCTTCGGAGAACCCGATCCCAACAAGCGAGGAAGGTCAGCAAAGCAGGAGAACGAGTAGCAAGTCTGTACAAGAACTGGTCACGCCGGTCCGGATCGGTCCCGACAATCGTGCTTACCCTACCAACGACGTCAAAAGGGGGTCCCATTGCCGGTCTCTCTCTCTCTCTCTCTCTCTCTCTCTCTCTCTCTCTCTCTCTCTCTCTCTCTCTCTCTCTCTCTCTCAAGCCCAATGCCCGGCCCCGTTATCGACCCCTTCCATTCAGAAACACTCCATCCGTAGAAAACTGAGCAGGGAAAAACGTCTAACGAGCCATCTGAATCACCCTTGTTATCTGGCCATTAGAGTTATCTGGCCATTAGAGTTATTTGGCCATTAGAAAGCAAAGAAAATAACAAACATATTTCCTTGCTTCTCTCCATGCCGCTCGCCACAAGTAACCATTCGACCTGCCGTTTCCGTCACGCGCCGGAGTCCGCTTTTGAGGGACTTCCCTCCCTAGATAGACCAGAGAAGAAGGGGAAAGGGAGAGGATCAGGAGGTTGCTTCACTAGAGGGAATAATAATAATAATAATAATAATAATAATAATAATAATAATAATAATAATAGTAATCTAATCTGATAATAATAAAACAATAATAATAATAATCGAAGAGGCTTTTCAAGCGAAGAGGGCGATCAGAACACCACGACGCTGAGGACCGACGAAATTTGTCAGACCCAGGTCTGCCCAATCTGCCCAGTCCGTCAAAGAACACAGCTGAAGACCACCGGAGCAGGTCACCGAAGAGAAAAAATAGAACTTTCTACGCTCGGGAATAAGGAGGAAGAAGAGGATGGAGAAGAGGAGGGGGAAGAGGAGGGAGAAGAGGAAGAAGAAGATGGGGAATGAGAACAACTAGGAGTACAGAGCATGGGAAGAGAAAACTCACCGACAAGGGCATTGCATATGGCGTCAGCGTCTGCCCTGGGATGGTAATAAGCACTCATCAATGGAAGTTTGCACGCCATCCTCACTGCCTTTCCTCTTCCCTTTCCTTTTCCTTCTCCCCACAATCAGCGAGAGTGCAATTGCTTGCTGCCGTATGCTGACGCCTGACGACAAATAACCCGGCCAGTTTCCGAACAGAATGGCTCGACCCGTTGTGCCGTGCGGCTTTCCTTGATATATGCGTGTCATCCTTCCACTCGGTCAGGGTCACCCGCCGTAGCCATTGAGCGCGTGAAACCTCCAGACAGGCTGTAGTGAAAACGTGTACGGAGCCGGGGAACAGACCGCGTACGAAATGCTACAACGAGACCGACCGTCGGGACCTGGGCCTTCGAATGTAATGCAGATGGGGACAGGACGCAAGTAATCGAAACTTTGAGGGGTAAAATGGAGACTTCACTGCCGAAGACAGATTATGTTTGCGTGTCACCCTTACACAGGGGCCTCGTCCCACCACGGGCACGGTTCCACTAACGTCTTCACCCGAAAGTAACGCCTGGGGCCATGTCCCACGAGCAGGGGTTTAGGGGCAGATCCCACTTCTTTCCGTTTTGGTAAGAATGTAAAAGTGCCGCGAAAGGTGGAGGCGCAGGGCAGCACATTGAAAGTGAAAGAAAAACGCGACCCCACATGCCCTACGTCTGCTGGACTTTTCCTAACGGAGCGGCACTATCTTGTAGCGCCTCGAGGATCCAAAGGCCTGCACATCACGAAAAAAAAAAGGAAGAGGAAAACAAGGGCCCCTTCTTTCACAGTGCAGGGTACAGGGGTGGCCTCTTCCAAAACTCGGAAGAACTACTGCCCCTGGAATCACGCTCGCGCCTCCACGTACGAGAACGTTTCCACTTCCCCCGATGTTCCGGGACAGGATCCGAGTTTCGTGGAAAGAAGTGAGATCCCAAAGTTTGCCTAAAAGTGCCTTGCTTATAAGAAGTGGGATCTGCCCCTAGTTATGGGTTCTGGAGCTATATGGCAGTATGCAGCCGTTATCTGGGTGGAAAGAAAAGAGGGAATGCAAGGAGGTAATCATGAAAAAAACGACCATATCACATCTAGCATGCACTTTTGGGCTGCACTGTCACCTGACAAGCGCCTTGCGCTTATGGACAGCCCACCATTCTGCCCTTGGCAAGGCAAAGGCTGGTAGCATCATTTCACTCCCCAATATGCCTGCCATTATGCAAGACCTCTGCATGTTCAAGGGGTTCTGCTTTCTAGCATAACCCACACCATGCAAGAAACAAAAACCAGCCAACCACTGCATCCAGATAATTCCAAAAAGCATTGACCAATGGAAGGACACAGTTTTGTTATGTCGTGCATAGTATTACTCGACAAAATCGACTAATTTTTCTGCCCCTGATCAAAATGGTATTTCAGTTATCTAATCAACTGTCACATAGTGCAGAGTGTCCTTATTCCAGTCTAGTGCACCTGCAAGTGGGACATGGCCCCCGGGCATTATATTCAAATTATAGCGTCATTAGACACTCCTTGGGGAGGCAATTCGGTCACCAAAGTTGTGGTTACACCACGTCCTAAAAAACCAAATTCCTCCAAAAACTATGAAAATGCTCCAAGAGTGAATCTCATTTTGTCTTCGGCTCCAAGGGACCCTCATGAGGTCCTTTGGAGCTAAAGATCCATGTTTCATATAGAGGAGAAGCCACACATGTTGAGAGACATTGCAACAGTCGAATCCGGATCGTGGCGGCACCTTATTGGTTGAAAGCCTTAAGCACAACTGTTTTTTATTTCCCTAAGAAAAAACTGAAAGGACGAATCTCTAAGTTGGCACTCCAAGGATGAGTCGAACAATTATGTCAAATATACTAAAAATTTCCAAGGATTTCGTCTTTGAGTCCGAGGACGCTATGAAGAGTGTCCAACGAGACCCTTACCCTAATTTTTTTAATTTTTTTTTCTTACTTTTTTTTTTTTTTTAGTATAACACCCCTTTGCATATAACGCTCGCCTGTTATATTTAGATGTGTCAATGGGAGATTGGCTTGTAAATGGAGTATACATGAGTTTGAAAAGGGGGGAAGGGAGTATATATAGGTTTGAAACGAGTTAAAAGAGGTTTTGACTTCTAAGAGTTATGCTTTGGTTTGATTTTTTTTTCTTTTTCTATTCAACACTAGATTCTTGAAAACCTAACAAAACGATAAAACCTCACATTTTTTATAGAATGAAAAGGTAAAAGTCAAACAGTTATTTTTTACACAAAAAAAATATTTTTAACTGTTTTTCGATAAAGGAGGCAAAAAACGAGGTGAAAAGTCAACTGTTCCTCAAAATGGGCAAAAAAAAATTTTCTTGCAAAATCCTTTTAAACGACTATAAGTCATTCTCAGTAGATTTGCAAAAAGCAAAACTCAAATAGGATAATTTTTTAGGACTACAAGGCAAACTTGAAAGATGTAAAAACAAAAATGGATTTTGGTGAATACTCATTTATAGAATTGTAAGTCATTTTCGGCAATTAAGTAAAAACCAAGATTTGTAAAAACTAATTTATTGAGAGAAGGTTAACTGACCCCCCATTTTTCAGGTCAATTTATAAGAAAACCATAAGGCCATTTCAAGCAAACTCCACTTCTTACTAACATATTTAAAATTAAAAAATAATAATAATAATAATAATAATAAAACACACATAAAACAGCAACCCCAAAGTGCATTTTCATGCAATTTTGGCATGAAACACGTCATCCAAATTTCAGGATTTTCAGGCCTCGCAACAGCACAAATTCTAATAACCCAAATCATACCAAATTTGGCAGATAACAACCTTAAACCAAAACAAAAACAGGCAAAAAAAAAAACAAAACCAAAAAACCAAAAAACCAAAAATTTGACTCCCAAACCCTAATTTCAGTTTTGATCCCATTAGTCAGGAAATGAAAATGGAGGTCCCCGTTAACCATTTGTGAATTTATTAGGAATATAAATCAATTTTGATGTTAACAATAAAACTCTTAGCAACAAATATATGCTTTTTAAAATAAGAATATTTTTTAAAATAAGAATACAAACAACGTTTGTCAGGGAGACGCCCTTAAATTTTTAGCCAAACACGAGTTCAAAATAATTAAAAATATATGGGGGAAAAAAAAAAAATAGTAAAAAATAATATATTCGTTCAGGTATGAGAGAATATATTTGAGTATACATGTTTGAACGTTCGAAAACCTCTCGAATACGTTCATCGTGCTATACATCTTATAGGACTATAAACATGATTTTTTTAGATAACAAAAGATATATATATATATATATTTCAGTTCTTGAACATACGCTGTTTCACCAGGTAGTGATTTTATGTGGAAAAACCTATTTTTCTCCTCGCCACTTTGAGTGGTTCTAAAAAAAATATTATTATTTTTTTTTTTGCAGTTGTTTTACTTCACGTAGAATTTTGTTCCTGGAAGAAGCCTGAAAAACGTACTATCATAATTTTGAATACATTTCGTGCAAACCTAACAATTTATTTTGTTAGGTTTTTACGAATCCTGTGTTATTTTCGAATTAAAAAAAAAATAATAAAAAAAATGCCCTCAGCCAAAAGTTTGTCGCATTGTAATTCGAAACAACATTTATTACTATTATTATTTTTTATTTTTTTTTGCCCCCACTGAAGTTGCCATCAACTTACTGAATACAACGCTCCGACATTATAAACGAATATAACATATGTCGGTCAGTGTCTTCGTACACAACGCTCAAACGTTATTTTCGAGTAAACACAGCAACGCACGAGCTCAGTATATGGTCACACAGTTGACTGTATGAATTATATAAGCCCTCGATTACCTTACAGTGTATTGCAGAAGCACTGCCCAGATGAAGTTTGGCCCAAGCGTGAGGCATTGTAAAAAAAATGTGGAGAACACTAACGTGTGTGAAAGACACTGAGTCAAAAATCGGTTTGTAGGTTTAAGAGTTTTGACAATTTGTTTTATGTTCCCGTTTTTAGGTATGTTTGGAAGTCCCGAGAGTTTTATTAAGAGAACTTTGATCGTTTTTTTTTTTTTTTTTTTGCAACAAGGGCGAGTTTCGACTTAAGGATAGGATTTAAGGCAACTGATCTCTCGTATGTGGAATGTATTTGTTACTTATTTTGTATAATCTTTGGGCACTGGCTTGTTTAAAATCAAATTTTCAATGCATTGTCAGAGCAAATACCCTTACAAAGGTATTTGTCTATGTTTTTGCAGTCAAGACAGTGACGGTGTTGAGCGCATCAGCTCCCGCCTTTTTCGCAAAAACGAAAGCCCTCACGGGCATGTCATGGAGGAGTTAAACAAAACAAAAACAGAGGCAATTTGAGGACGACTCATAAATAACCCCGCGAGCTGCCAAAACAAGCATGGTCGTGTCATTCCTTCGCCGCTCGAACAGAGTGCGTAAGTCATACTTCCCGCGGTCCCTTACCATAGGATAGGTTTCAACGAAGCACAACTTACTTTCCCTTAGGGGTTGTCACCAGCCTTAGAGGTGTATCCCTGCTGAGCTACCAACCCTCGTGGAAAAGTTTTTATGTGCGATTCCAGAGGTAGGTTAGTCGAGGATATTTTCTCGTTTCGTTGTAGCCTATGTATGCATGGATAAACGTCATTCAACTTGAACGTTGCTCGTTGCTCGTTGCTTAGGGCGTTGATCTCCCAAGTACGAAATGTACGTCGATTGATTAAGACAATCTCAATCAAGTGTCGACTCATTATTTATCCTAGCCCGGTGCAGATAATACACAAAAAATCATTATAACAAATACATAAGTCAATAAGAAACACACATGTATCAAAAGTTAGCCTTCGAGACCCTCGCACGATCATAATGTTGGCAACCAATGTTCTTGAAGGTATGAACAATCCAAAGTGAATACGCTTCGCAAGTTCAGGTGTCATTTCTTCGGTCCATACTGCATCCTTCACGCCACCGGTTCTGATGCTGTCGCTAGTCCGGCCAGCTTCCATGTGAAGCTGCTTGATTACCTTTGACAGACTCACGTACACGATGTATACCACGTCTCTTTGTTGCATCCTTATCGTGGACTGTCTGAGCGCTTCGTCAGACGTCTTTAAGAGCGCCCTCCACCTATCATTGTGGGCCGTCACGAGGA